CCCCCACTCTTTCTTACTGTTGATTCTGGAAGCTATTCACTATCCACAGCACCTGTAGGAACAAAGTCCTTTCACCTAATTCCTCCTGTTATGTCAGGCACCTCTCAAACCACTGACATATGGAACAAACCCAACTTTATGACTAAATGCAGTCATATACTAGTATGTAGTAAACCCATTTATGTTATTGTAAGTTGTAAAATTCTTCTGTTTTGCCCCCAGGTTTCTGCTACATTTGCAGCAAGTCTAATCATAAGTCCAGCACTCGGAGCATATCTTGGTAGAATATATGACGACAGGGCTGTTGTGGCGCTAGCTACTTTTGTGGCTGCTTCAGATCTGCTGTTTATTTTAGTTGCTGTTCCTGAGTCTCTCCCTGAACGGGTGAGGCCAGCATCTTGGGGAGCACCAATCTCTTGGGAACAGGCTGATCCTTTTGCCGTGAGTAAAAACAGCAACCTTTTCAACACATTCTATTTATATGTACTTTCTAACTCTAGTCAATATAAAAATTCACCTTACCGGTTTCCATATATTTTCATATTGCTGCATCAGTTGTAATAAAGTGTGAAAAAATCAGTCAATCTCAATTTGTAGATCACTTGAAATCTTGATTCTCCTGACCTTTACCAGTGATTTTTAGCTGGTATTGTAAGGAGAAATGTGATGCGGATCTTTTGGGGATTAAGGGTTTAGGAGTGCCACTAAATGTTGCTATCTTCAATTCAAATATACATTGTTTGTGACAAACATGACAAGCTTTAACCCTTTACACCCCAACATCAGTATGCATATTCTCCATACTATTCTCTATACAATCCTAAGGTGCTGACAAGAAGAATTTATTTATCAATCAAGAGCTCCTTTAGTTAGTGATCATTTTCCTTATTCTCATGACGTTAATGTGTGATTCAGGGGTGATTTTGTAGGGAGAAATTAGATGCTAGTCACTCTTAGGGGTGAAAGGGTTGAAAAGGAAATATTACAAAGTCCCTTGAATCTGTTCCTCAGACCAGCAAGTAATTGTGTGTTGTTTTGTTTGTTTCTGTTGTAGTCTTTACGCAAAGTTGGCCAGGATCCTATAGTTCTGTTGATGTGTATTACAGTGTTCCTGTCATATCTACCTGAAGCTGGCCAGTATTCTTGTATGTTTCTGTATCTCAAGCAAGTAAGTCATTCACAGATGAAAGCTTTATTGAACACGCGAACTATAATAACAGACCATCCAAAAACAAAACAAAAAAAACAAAAAAAACCGACGGTTAAAATTTCCCATATGTGGACACCCTTTTCCGTTAAAAGAGAATACTTTTGGAAGCTGGAGAATTCTCCTGTGACTTATACACAGCTTACAATTCTCTTTACGTCTTTAATACACATTTGAACAGACAGGTGACGAGAATTAAGATTTTTATCAACTTGATTCAACTCCTGATTTTGTGGGCTAGCGCACAAATAATTGTATGATCATCAGTTGGGAGTATTCATCTTAAAATCTTTTAAGTTATGGAGTTAAATTAATCTACAACTTAAGTATTCTTCTACAAAACATTTTTTCAAGTTTTTTTCTTCTTGTGGTCTTCTGCTAGGTTATAAAATTTACTTCAGACGATGTGGCTACATTTATAGCAGTGTTAGGAGTATTATCAGTTATCTCTCAGGTAAGGATATTATATTGTGTTGTTGCGATTGATCTCAGGTTATCGCGTCTTTGAAGCATACAACACTTAGCCCTTTAAGTCCTAAAAGTGATTAACATGTAACCTCTTCGTATAATATCCATACATTATCCAGCAAATGTTTAGAATACTAAAACTTACCAGCTAGAAGTTGTTATCTTGATCTAACAGCAAACTCTTGCAAGTAAATTTACAAGGAAATGTGTAGCAGCTAGAGGAGAGAATTAGCAATCAGATCTTGGGAGTTAAAGGGTTGATCAGATGACTACAGCATGCAAAGGACATTCCTTCCCTAGGCTGTCGGTCAAATGCATTTATTTCTTGCTTCTTTTAATGACCAATAATCGTCGAAATGCTCGCTGCACAGATAAAAGAAAATGTGGTTAATTTGGCTTGCGGGTAAGCGCCACTTTTTGGTTTTTTTTAGGGGAGTCCGAGGGAAGTGTGACGAGAGCGTGACTCGGCGTGAACTGCGAGTCACGTACGAGATCCTCGCGCTTGCCTTCGCTTTCCTGAAAAACGCAGGAAAAAAGCAGAAAGAAATACGCCTATCCCGTAGGCGAATTTGAATTCAGAATTTTAACCTATGTTTTTGATAAATTATGTTTACAGATTCTTTTGTTTTGTTCTGTATTCAGACTGTAGTCCTTACATGTCTCAAGAAAACTATAGGATTGAAGAATTGCGTTCTTATTGGTTTAATATTTGAAATTCTTCAGTTATCTTGGTATGGTCTCGGAACTCAGTTTTGGTAAGTTGTTACAATTTTCAGTTGAGTTTCCAAAGTAATCCGGGATAGTCTGTGGCTCAGTGGTAGAGCATCGAAGCGCGGAATCCTAAGGTCTGAGGTTCGATTCCTCATGGGACTCAGGATTTTTTCTTTGTCCCACGCTTGTGACAAGACGAAAACATCTTTTCTCTTCCTTTACCGAGCTTAAAACTTACCATCTTTCTTCATGTAACTCGGAAAAATGCGCAACAACAGTGCGCGCAAAGAAGGCGTACTGTCCAATGACACAGGCACGCCGCTACACTGTCCTTTTACAAGTATGAATCGTAAACTGTTCTATTAGGGCTCAAATCGGGCTGGTGATACCCAATTTGTTGTAATTTTGATTAAAGTGAAATTTTGACGCATCCACTTGAATTCTTTCTCGTCTTCTATGTGTCTGTAGGATGATGTGGGCAGCTGGATCCCTGGCGTCAATATCGATGATAACATATCCATCCATGAGTGCCCTGGTGTCCTGTAACGCTGAAGCTGATCAGCAAGGTAAGTCCACTGGTTTCCTAACGAATAGAGCCTTTAAAAGTGGTCCAGAATTGCATTCTGCTTAGTGAGTGGTCACGGAAATCTTGCTCTAACCTCTCAGCCAATCAGAGCAAGACTTAAAGCAGTCGTTACTGAGATGTCCGCGATTTCCCGCGCACGAGATCTTTTCCATGTTCTAAACACTAGTTATCATTGGCTCCATTGGCTAAGTTCTCATTGACCTTTGTTTTAATAACCGTCTTTCATGGATTCAAGGTCAGGTAACGGTCTGAGAATAAAATTGTCCAAGGTCTGGAAAAGAGTCTATTAAAATTGAAAATTTACAACTCTTAACTGTCGTTTTAGTCTGGTGGGAGAAATTTTCGGTTTATCAGGAAACGACACGGAAAAATTCGCGGAAACTTCCAGGAAGGAAAATTATGGCCTTTGACAAAGCAAAAGAACAGCGGGGAAGTTTTGTCAAATCTGCTTTTGTCGGCGGGAAAGCGAGCTGCCCATTCATTTGACATTTAAAGCAAGTATGTTACATGATACTCGGTGTCAGCGGACATCCACCCTAATTTTCTTTGTGTCCGCTTATGGGAAGAAATCCTCGTAGTCGGACAGTTCTATTAGCAGACGCTTTTTCCAATTCCCGAGGATGTCCACTTACAAAAGAATTCACTGTCGTTTTGATTCACATCACCCCGTATTTTGTTGGATAAAACAGTCGAGCCTGTATTAAACACGAAGGCGCGCTATAAAAGGAGAGATAAATACCTTAGATACCTCTGGATCATTTGTCAATCAACCGTCTTGGCACCGTATTAAGCGGTCAGTTGTTAAAGTGCCGAAATTCTTACCCTTTAAACACTGCAATTTTCATCTTTATTCGCCTGTATCAAGTGGTACCTGTCCTAAACTGTCATTTAAAGTGGAACCACTCAAATAAAAAAAAGAACACTCAGGCTTTTAAGTATTTTTAAGTAACCCATGTTTTTCTCCCGAAATCAATGTTGGTGGTATTTTGCGCGAGTTTTTGTACATCAAGTGGTTAATTAAGTGGTCAATTAGCGTTTTTTTCCCGTGTTTTACAACACCCTCATCCTGTGGAACCTGTTTTAAGCATTCCCCATGGCTGACCGCTAAATACAGGTTACCAACACATCTGAACCAGTTATTCTCTTTTTTTTTATGCCAGGTGTGGTTCAAGGTATGATAACAGGAATAAGAGGCTTGTGTAATGGCATAGGACCTGCTCTTTTTGGTTTGGTGTTTTACGTTTTTCACGTGGATTTAGAAGACGAGGAAGGTCCAACTGTCGATATCACTGCTACAAGTAATCACACCATTATGGAGGACCCGTACGGCAAGGTATTGACAATATCAGAATGCTTATTTTTTACACTGTTCTTATTTGCTATGGAGAACAAGGAGAATTTGGTGAACAAACAAGAGCTTATTTAGTTAGTGACCGTTTCCGTCTTTCTCATGACCTGCAAATACAGTATCATACATATAGTATAACTCCTGAACAAAAGAAATGATCAAGAATAGAAGAGGTTCTCAATTGTATAATAAATTTTCCTTTTCATCACTATAGGGATATGAGCAAAGCAGGTACTATCAGAGGAGAAAATCATTCTTTTTTACCTTGCTATAAATGTTTTTTTTTTCCGCAGACAATCGTATCTGGAGCACCGTTTCTATTCGGCGCTGGCTCTGTTATTCTTTCTCTTCTATTGGCGTTCTTCCTTCCTGATAACAGTGCTAATTTTCAACTTAGTGCACGTTCTCCAACCAGGAGAAACAGCGAATTTAGTTTCCAAAGCGAGTGCGAGGCTAGTGGCTCTGAGTTAAGGGACATGAATACGTCATCTGATAATGCACCTCTTCTCTGCGACACCAAGCCACTTTAGGACCTCAACGGTCTCTCAAGTACAACCATGTACGCAGTGGAAATACTGATTCTTATCTGACAAACAACCTTAGTTAGGAGCCATTTTTGGAAGGCTCATAGAATGGATGCAAGTTGATCAAGATCCCTTGACGAAAGGAAAAGCGACCACGTAACACACGCTGCGTCTTGTGAAAGCAGAACGTGAGAGACTTTGTAAAGCAAAATGGAAAATATGATCTTGATTGACAACTGCATTGTATTTTTCTAAAAAGCACTATGAAAGAGTAGTAGGGATAGCTAAGTCATAACGATTTGTCTTCCAGGAGTAACAAACAACGACACAAGTCAGTTATCCACGGTGTTTTAAAACCGTATTGCTTTTTAGGTAAAGTTCAAAGCAAAGTGTTGAATCAACAGAATTTCCATAATTTTAGTAAGCCTCGTGTTTGAAAGTGTCAAGTTTTCCCCTTCTCAATTTTTTGTTTTTGTTTTACAAATTTCCCTGAACGTTTCGCTTTCTCGTGCATGTTTTGCTTGACAGCGGTCGTTTCTTATGTTTTCTTTCAACATTTTCGCGGGAAATTGACGCGCGGCTGCGCAAAATTGAACCACTTGCGCATGCTTTACGTTTGACCGCTGAGTTGTCACATGCAGTGAAGCCGAAAAATCAAAACAATTCCTGATTCTCATATTATTCTAAATGCGCAAAGTGGTTTGAAGTATCGTACCGTAGTTGTAGTAAGCGTCGTCACCTTTTTTTTTTTTTGTTTCGGTTTTCACAGTAATTATTTTCGTTGACAGGATAGTTATTACTTGATTTTCTGCTGTTTCATCGTTTTCATTTTAGGTTTACCTCGTGAAAACCGATTTATTCTCTAACAGGAGTTTCGAATAGCAATAATTTCCTGAATTGCTTTTTTAGGGAGTGGTCAAAGTCTTAAAGACCCACAAAGCAAAGTTTGATGGTAAATTTCCATCGTAATCTCGAGCGTAGTTGAGCTTTCAATACTATGAAAACAGAAGTCGCCAAAGGCGCAAATTGTTCGTGTATCGATTTTTGTACATAAGAGATTTATTCTATAAATTATCTTAACGATTTGGAATTATTTAATGTACAATTCTATTGCTGTTTGATTTTTATTGTTACTGAAATTATCTTCCTCTAAATAAATATTTTCGACTGTCGTTTGGTTTGTGGATGTTGGTTTGCTAAAATACAGGACGCGCGCGTCTCTGCACGCGTGAAGACTGAGACGAGTCGGGGAGAGGGTTACGGAGGGTCTGGCTATAATAATCAGCGCTAGACCCTCTGCGGACCTCTCGCAAGATCGGGTTGCTTAAGGCCTCATACTATTCCACGAGCGAAGAAACGCGCGTGCCTAAACGCTAATAGAGACCTTAAGAGGTCAGAACAGCAACGCCGGGGAAGATGTCGATTTAAAAGTGAATTTATAATTTACGTTAGGAGTCAGCGTTTACCGTCTCTCGCAGCGCCACACCACAATTTCAGCGTAGATTCGTAAACCCTTTACCGTGTACACTTTCAGTTCCTTTGGGACTGAACCAATATTCGTACTTCAGCCGTCGACAGGTGCAGGTCCGGCTAGGTCTCATTACAACAACCGTGTCACATCTGACTTCAAATTTTAGGGCAGTAGACAGAGTGTCTATTTCCATTTTTCCAGTTTCCTTTTCCCCAATGAAAGGCAAACAAGCAGCTTTTTTCGCCGATCATTTATCACAAATTTTTCTATAATGCCTGCGCATCACCTTCTCCATTTCGCTTCTACTTACGAAATCCCCTCCATTCATCGTGTTTCCAGTAGCCCGCAAATGCAACTGGCGGCTATGTCAAAAGTAGTACATTGTACGTACGGACGTGCGGTCATACCCAAGTTTTCGGCTGATGGGTTGCTGTCATTACTATTTTTATAAGTATAAGGCTATGCTGCGCGCACTGCGAGCTCCACCATAACGTGCGCAGGGTCCGCCCGGTTTATTACGAAATAGGATGTGCAGTACATACGATTTGCAGAAGTTCCACCCAACTAACAACAAGACGTTTAAGGTCACTTAATATTCGCCTTCTGCTTATGTTGGATTAGTTTGTCGGCCATGTTATTCTTAAAATAGTAAAAGAAAAAAATCATCAAATTTTAAGCCTTCTCTGAGATAAAACTTTCCGTGGTTGTGACGGAATTTTGGTCTAGAAAATGGTCCGAATAATCCATTCCATTGTGTGATAAAACCTCGTACTCCGCTTTTGCTTTGAAATTAAATTAAGTAAGATCAGGGTTTAAAACTCTTTTTCTGCTATTCGCTGGAGGTAAAGGAGAACGGAGAAGTGTTAATAGCATAGTGCCAAAGAAACCTCTTACCTCGTGCAGGGTACGGTGCTATAAAGATCAAAAGTCTGATAAGAGACATTTCATCCTCGCAATTTGTTAACAGTATAATTTCGATATAACTTTTCGTTGCCTGGAGTATCCATCAAGCGGCCACTTTCTTAGAGCAATCCACTATAATTCAAATAACATGGTATTTTGATTTCAGTATTCATTCCTAAATTTACATTTGGCTTCAGGCCCGTCGATTAATCGATACATTCGAGATACGGACACCTAGCTTGCTTGCGGGGTTTTTTCCGTTAGTATTTGCTTCGAGCTTTTAAACCTTCTGTCAGGAGAAATTGGGTGATAAATACTTTGTCAGTCAGAATTTGCATTGACTAAAACACGAATGCTATCGCGCCCGCAATTTAATTCCCATCTTTCGTATGAACCATTGTGGTAACTCCGAGAGAATTTTGTTCAGGGACTCCGGTTCCTGTGTTTCAATACTTCTGTCGTAACCGTGCCTGGAAGTCTTGCAGCTAACGTCTTAATCATGCTGAGAAGATCCCAGTAGCTGTGTCCAAACACATGCTTCATAATTACATCAAAAAGAGCACCTCCGAAAAAAAACAAACAAACCCGATTCCATATAGTAAACATGGAATGTACGCAAGTAATTCGATTTATGTTAAATACACCATCACTCCTTAAAGCAAGTTCCTATTGTCTTACTGACAGCGCAATAAATTGCTAGCATATCAAGCAACACAATACCAAGACTTCCAGACTTTAAGCCAGTTATATGTGCTCTCTTGGATGTTTTTGTTCATGATTAAGTCGTTATTACTTTCTCCTAACCTGTTCGCCATTTTGTTCTGTTTAGCCTTCGCAACTTTCCTGCCAATCTATTTAGAGTAATTTCAACCTACTGCACTCAGTTTCAACTTTCTGCATTGTTTGCGATCAATTAAGGTGTTCTCAAAGCAATAAGCAGGCTGACATTTTAGCCTACATATTATTATTCACACAACCTAAGTTCCTAGGAGGCCCCAAACAACTTTTAAGAGGGATTTGGGCTGAGAGAACCCAATAGCTGTGTCCAAACACATGCTTTATGTTTACATAAAAAAAACACCTCTAAAAAAAAACCAATGCTGTATCGTAAACATGGAATGCATGCAAGTAATTCAATTTATGCTGAAAAACCATCACTCCATAAAGCAAGTTTCCATTCTTTTATTGACAGACCAATAAATTGCTGGCATATCAAACAACACAAAGAGTGTATAGGACATCACAAAAAATTGTCTTGTTAACTATTACATATACAATGAAAAAGCAGGCCACAAAGTCTGTTTATTACTTGCGGTCAGCGTATGTGTGGTAGCATCAGTTGTTAAATTTGGTCTTCCACACTGGGATCTTTTTAGACTCCCTCTGCCTTCGAGGGCTCATCAAAATTTTCAACTAGCTCTGTGGATGAAAAAAATATCGCAATGAGTAAGAGAATGCAGTTAGCCTTTGAACTCCTAATATCTTCATATCAATTCCCCTCTCCTGTCAGCCCTACGTTTCATGTCTTGATAGCTCAGAGAACGTGGTTATCTGATTGATAATTATCCCTATTCTCATCACCTCAAGAGGGGTGGACAGAAGGGTCAATTCAACTCCTTTCCCTACCCTGATGAGGCCCAAGAGCCTAAAACAGCTACCTTATGTTACACTTTTAATTTCAGCAGTAGCATTGGATTGTGTAGTTTAGTCGTCACAGTGAGACTGACCTGGAGGAGGTCAGCAGAAGTTAAGGTTGTCTAAATGTCAGAAATGCTAAGATTGTTGAAAAACCAGTCCCTATTACAAACCAGAGATATTCTGAAGAGTGAAAAGAAATAGGCAGAAGCCTGAGAGAAATTCGAGAATGCCAAAGGTGAAAATAGCTGAGTACAGCAAGAGGGAAGTTTTCACCCCTCTAACCCTCAGCCAGGTGGTTCAAAATTTTTTTCCCCTAGTTATTAGTTTATTGGTTTGCAATAAAGTAAATGGAAAAAGGAGCAATGTCTCACCTGGGACATCATCATCGTCAACCTCCTCAGTATGTGTTGGGACATGTGCACCATCTGTTGCTGCTGAAAAGTGAAACAGCAAAACAGCTACTCAGTTACAAGTACATAGCTGTCAAGATTTCCATGCAAAAGTACCTATATGTATGTTATTAAGGCTGACTATTCCAAGTCAAAAGTGACACAAGCCCAACATTCAGTTTAATTTGAAATTGTTGTTTGTTATTCAGTGCTCCAAAGGAATACTTTTATTCTGACAACAGCAAATGATTCAACATTTGAGATACCTACACTACTCATGGTTTCTACATCTATAGAAATGCAACCCACATGAAGGTTGTAAAATCATTTTTTTTTCCAAACAGCTTAAATCTTCTCTACATATAGGCATCCTATTTAAATGGTGATTTTATCAATTGCTGCTTTTGTGTTTCCCTCCATCTCTTAATCCTTTAACTCCCAGAAGTGATTAACATGTGATTTCTCCTTGTAATACTCGCACATTATTACGCAAACTGGTGATGAGAATACTAAAACTTATCAAGATGAAGTTGTTCTTTTGATCTCACATCAAATTCTCAAAACCAATTTACAAGGAAATGTGTAGCAGCTAGAGGGGAGACTTAACATCCACATCTTGGGAGTTTAAGGGTTAACAAAAATATTTTAGCTCACACTAAAACAGTGGATAATGTTGAAGGCATGCTCTGATTGGCTACTACAACTCTGAAGGTCCTTTACTATATACATTTGGGTAACGTGGCAAGATTTGCACCCCAAATATCATAATTGTTTCAGGAATAAATGAATAAACATCATCTTTTTGGGCTATATTATCTCACTATTTTAGTATACACTAAAAAAAACTATTTACATCAGTGTCAGTTTCTATCGGTGGTTAGTTACCCCAGTGCTTTGTGGTTCACTGGGTAAATATCACTGGGTAAATATCACTAGCCACCTCCACTTTAGAGATACTGTAAGCGGTTACTTATCAGATATCTTTGACTCACTTGGGAATTTCTCTGCCAGCTTCCTCAAATTGGTCAGACCTTCACTACTCTGGTAATGAGAAAAGTAATCATATTAGTGCATTTTGTAACCTTTGACTCCCTATCAGTAGAACTCATTCTCTCCAGACTGTTCTCTTTGCATTTCTTATGATACTGACAAGGAGAATTTGTTTTGAAACTTAAGACCTCCTTATAACGGTGATCATTTCCTTTATTCTCATGACCTTTGCATTTGACTCAAGAGTGACATTGTATGGAGAAATTAGAAGCCAGCCACCCAAAGGGGTTAAACAGTTAACAGTCAGCCATGTTTAGTGACAGGTGTAATGTATTAAACTTAAACAGGTATGTTGTATGATATCTGAGTCTGTTTCTCTTGAGAAAGTTTACAAAGCTTACAAATGACTAAACTACAAGCACTCCCTCCATTTCAGCAAGGTCTGTCACATGAGTAAAAAAGAAATGATGTTGGCGCACCTCTCTTTCAGAGTTCCAAGCAGTGAGCTAACATCTTTTTTTTCAATGATTCTTTTTGGACTTGCAAAACAGACTTTTCCAAGTGGCAGGGACTTCTCCTTATCTAACAAAAGACTAGCTCTAAGGACTCTAAGGAGTACATGTACAAGGATACAAGTGTACTTACCAACTGATTCAAAATTCCAGGAAGCATTTCTGCAATTGCTGAGAGACAAGCACAAAAAATATCAGTCATACAAGATTATAATTCATGTTATGGCTGGTGTACACATACATTTTACAACAAGTAACATAAATAATAATGAACTGTTTTGATAATGTCACTACACACATAACTTTTTTCATGAACCATCCATTACTCCATCAAGGAAATTTGTAGGCGAGAACAGTTTTGTTTTACACCCACCACATTCAGTCCCATAGTCTTGCAAAAGTACACCACATACAATAAAAAATTTAGTCTGTCATTATACTCACACTTATTTTCAGACTGACCAACCACAGCAAAAGTGTTTGACTGCAGGGAAGCTTGCACTAGGAGAAGTACAACAATTCAATGTTACATGGATTGCTTATTCTTCCCTCTTGTTGCTACACATTTCCTTGTAAATTAGTTGTGAGAATTTGGTGTTACATCAAGATAACAAATTCTACACAACAAGTTTGAGTACCTGTTTGCTAGATGATGTATGTACATGTGAGGATAGAATAGAGAGAAGTTCATAGAGTTGAAGGGTTAAGCAATAAATTTTGTGGGGAAAATGATTAACTGCTGTCTGAACAATGTGTACTAAAGGTATACCACAGAGAGGAGAGTTAAAAACAAAATGAACACTTTTGCTGTTAAACAAAGCCACAGCCAGAAAAGAAAAAAAAAACTCCAAGGGTAAAATTGAGTTAGCAAGAGTTTCCCATTGTAGAGGATTTAAAATATTTGGGTAAAATTGCACTTAATGCATGCAAGACACACAGTGTGAATCCTTGTTACTTTGAGAAAGTGAAAGATTCCAGTTATCAGGAGTTAGTTCAATAGATTCCTAGAATTACCTTTTGGATTAGTAAAATGAATGACCGTCCCATCATCCTTAATCATGTTTACCTGCAAAGGACAAGTAATTGGAACATTGTAACTGATAAAAAAAAAAAAATTTTTTCTCATACCTGATCCAACTTATCACTTGCAATGGACCATCAGTGATATCAAGAATGAGAATGAAATTGATCTAACCTTGTCGATGCATAAAAGAAGCAAGGTGAATGTACTGCAAGCTACTTGTTACATGTGGCAACCATTATAATTAATCAAAATTTACCTCTTCAATTCCAGGAATTGAGTTCACAGCAAGCTTCTTGAGGGTGTTCTGGAGTTTCTTATCATCTGCTCCAGCTGTTCTGTGAACTATCTTCTTTTTTCTTCTGGGTGTGCCCTAAAATTTAACTTAAATGTTACGCACTTTTTTTTTTCCTGCAACTTATATGGATAAATTGATGTTGAAAACTGTCGTAGCCAGGTTTTGCTCTGACAACAGAAACAGTTCAGGTGTTAAGTCTACCTTCAGGCTCTCTCCTTATTGGTAAAAGCCATTGGAGAATAGCTCAGCTGCCAAAGCAACTACATCAGAGAGACTCACTGCCTTTCTTTCTTTTTTTTCCCCCCAGTGTGCTATAGTGCTAATAGTGTGCTATATCAGTCTTGCCTATATTACATCAGTGCTGTCAACACACAAAAAATCAACTGAGCTGTAAGTCTGCACCTGAACATAGAAAATAACCAATGTGCCAACTGACAAACTCCCTGCTTCCTTCTGATTGTCATGCTTTACATTGTAGCATGATCAATTTAACATTCTCAAAATTAAATCTCTTCTTTCACACCATCATATCACCTCTTAAAATTCCTCTTCCTTCTCATCCCATGTGGCCAGGATAAGGTGGTTTCCTAGATTCTCCAGAAGCACCAGCAGCCAGCACTGTAACCAGCTACTTGCTTCTGAAGCACCAGTAACTTATCTGGCTGCTACTGTTAAATTGTTTTTCATTTTTGTAATGTCTGGATTCTTGACAGTGTAGATGTACCTGAATAAACATCTTACCTTTCCTCCTATTTGAACTCCACTTTTTAATTTTGATAACTTTTCTTGGTTCATACTGGTCTGTCAAAAAAATCAGAACTTTCATATTACTCACAAATGTATTTTCTTTCTTAACATATTGCTCATCTAAAAAGCCCCTGGCCAACCATGCTATAAATGTCTTGGATGAGATTTACTTTCTCCCCTCTTCCTCTCTCAGTAAGCACAATTCTATTCCAAAACTCATACCACATTTAAGAGAATAAATGAACAAGCTTTACTCCTGTAGAACATTTTACCAATTCTTCTGCTGTAAGTAAGCAGACCATTGTGTACATCAAAAAGCTTTAAAAAATTTCTTTCACCATTAGGAATTAAAGATAACACTCAACAACTAAAAATAACACAATGAGCAGTGGTGCAGTTCAATAAACTGTGTACAGGTGGTTTGTACTTAAATTTACCGCTACATTTTGTTTGATGTTTTAAAAAAAACCCAGCCATCGTCGCGTAAATTTTGTTACCCACAAGAGCTATTTTCTGTCTCTCAGAAAACCCTTATTTAAAAAAAAATACGATTTAAAGAGGTCCATTTATAACCACAATAATACAAAAGCAATTTAAGGTATTACACAGGATGACAAAATCTTGTTCAAAATCCCACCTTCGGTGAGCTATTTCCGAATACTTATAACTTAAATTTATACGCCCAACAAAATCGAATACGCGTCAGATATGGAAAAAACAATATCTACGGTACATACAGTTCCATCAGCTAAGAAGTGATCGTTTTGTAAGATCATTAATCACTGGATTACAGATATCGATAACACGAGTCCTTCTGCTAGCATTTATCGTAAGGATTCCTTCCTCAACTTATACAGAAAAAGAAATCTTTATACAGATCGATAGTACGAGAACATGGTGCTACAGGGACAGCATGCTTCTTCGATTCGACAACATGGGAGAATTTAGAATACGGTATTCGAAGAGGTTTTCGGCATTTCAAACTAACTTTTAAGCGACAGTTCATTTAAACTTACCAGTTAGTAATAATCTTAAACAGTAGTGAATAGAATTCCAGGTAAAATGTCATAAAAGAGTTTTTCCGTCGCTAAACACGAGGATGATTTGATCTGCACGATGGCGTAAGAGACCGATACTGTATTGCGCAGGCGCAATATCCCTGACCGCGTTGTAATCGAGAAATCTGGGTATAGATGTTGAGACTCACACCCAGTCCTCTTGTTGACTTGTTGAATAATGATATAAAGGAAAACTGAGAAGTGTACTGTCGAGCTGTCGCTAAGGAAATGAGTATTACTTAATAATTAATTATCCTTGAAGGTCTCGTTGAAGATTCACGCTCTACCAGATATCAGCTATCACCCATGAAAGATCCAATATCTTTTAAGATGGATTCTCGTTTACCAATTAGCATTTGCACTGAGTATCGCGGCATATTACTAGATGAAATATCATATTTGCCGGGAAAACGTAACAGACCCAAGCTCTTTTATTTTCTTCCCCTGAGTCCCAGAATAATTTTGTTTCGCAAATTACAGATTTCTACTTTGCAAATCATTAGCATATTTCCATTTAGAAATCTGTAATTTGCGAAATGGAAATATGCTAGTGATTTTAAAAATGGAAATCTGTAATTGCGAAATGGAAATATGCTTATGATTTGCAAAATAGAAATTTCTACTAGAAATGAAAATATTCAGATTTTCATCTCGTTTCGTTTCGTTTCGCAAATTATAGTAAGCCTTACCGTCTTCTTGAGTCCCTTAAATCAAAGGAGGCTGATGACCATGAAATCCTACCTTTGACGCGAAAATCACGCGCATTGATATCCGCAGCAAACATTACAATCAAATATTTTATATGTGGTACAACTAGTCTCCAACTACTGGTAAAGTTTTGAAATATGGTGATCACAAATTTTAATAATGGTACTTTGTGCACTTCAAGCCGGGAAGTTCGTATCTATATCGAAAATTGCTTAAACCTGCCGTTTGCTTCGTAGGAGAAACCATTGAGTGAACACAAGAAAATATAAATAAACAATTTATGTTCTCTTGGAAAACATCTATAGTTAGAACAAGACACAGAACACTCTCTTTAATTTGAAGGGCTATCTCAGGCTTTAAGGTGGTCATGCAATTTACATTCTCATCTCGGCTAATGCTCAGTTCAGTCATACAACTTCCGAAATGGGCTAGAAAATATTCCTTAGAGTCGAATCAATTTATTTTCGAATGTTAATGGTAGGATAAAAATGAAAAAGAATCCTTTTATGCGGCAATTTTGGGAATAACTCTACAGTTGAAATAACTCTACAGTTGAAATGACAAAAACAGACTAATCGCGTCTAAATCCTTGAACCGAGACGTGCAGGCATAGCTATTGTTTATATGTCACGTCAGGATGACAAAAGGGAAGTAGGCGGAGATAAACTTTGGACGCGAGCCAACCGCACCCACATTCTCTTTCATTCTAAGTCTGCTCGAACACGTCTATCGCTTTGTAACAATGGCGCCGAAGGGATTTTTCATCGTTCTTTTGGTCTCTCTCTTTGGATTGCAAGGTGCTATGTCCTGCTTTGACGATAGCGACTGTTTGTCCGCTGAATACTGTTGTTCTGATGGCATTTGCAGGGATTATTGTTATTATTCCTGCTCGAGCGATTACGAATGTCCTGGTTTGGAGGTTTGCTGCGGTGGCGACTGTGCTGATTCATGTGTTTGGACGGCAGGAAGCATTGCAGGCGCTGTAATTGGTACAATAATCTTTTTTGCTATCATTATTTCCATCGTATCCTGCTGTTGCTGTGCCTGTTGTCCGTATTACCACTATCGTACGCCCGGTACTGTGATTGTGACAAGCCAGCCGCCGTATCAGCAATTCGTGTCGACCACTAGCACGACGCAGCAAGGAGTTGTGCAGTATCCACCGCCTGGAAGCTACAACCAGCCTCCACCCGCTTATCCACCACCCGGTCCAAACCCGTATCCTCCAGCTCAGGTACAAGGACAAGCCGTTTCGATGCCGCCTCCTGGACCGGTCAAGTACTGAGATGTCTGAAGCAAGGCAACATGAAAGCAAACATCTTTATCTTTGGATTAAGAAGCAACTCGTTCATATAAAGACATAGTTTATTTGCATGGTAGTGGGAAATTTTGCGTAGAACTGTTAATACACTAGAGTAGAATTAGAGAAAAGTTATAGTGCATCGTAAGATTCTGACACAACCGTCGATTTCTCGACATTAAGCTACAATAAGCCCATTTTACAGTTGCGTGCTTGGTTGCCAAGCTTTTGAACAGGATCGAGGCTAAGCGTGACCTTGTTATGATACAAAGCTTGCTGCTTTTCAAATATAAATTACTTTGTTATCATGCCAACTAGATACTAATCTTTATCACAACGAGGTCACCTTCAGCCTCACTTCAACTCAAAGACTTGGCAACGAAGTAAATAACTGTAAATGGCCTATTTCCGCAGTAGAATTGCGTGACAAGCAAAATAATCTTCCCGGAAGTTCGTCGTTTTGCTCATTAAAAATAATGTCGATACGAACGTTATTTGTACTCTTAAGCGACTTTTTATTTCGTGACAAAGTCACAACTATAGTTAAAAGTTAGGAAAATTAGTTTTAGAAAAGTTAAGATTTCCATTTTAACTCAAAGTATTTTCATTATTTTGTTTTCAAAGTGGCATATGTAAAATGTTTTTAATTAATTAAACTGAGTTGCGTTTGTGGAGCGTTGTGATTGACTGACACCTTACTTTAGCTGTGCAGGCAAGGTGATGTCATGATACTTGGCTTCATAGTGGTGGGTGCTTTAACCCTTTACACCCTAACATCAGTTTTCATATTCTCCATACTGTTCTCTGTACTTTTACCAAGGCGCTGACAAGGAGAATTTGTTTAACAATCAAGAGTTTTTTAATTTGGTGATCATTTCCTTTATTCTCATGTCATTAATGTGAGATTCAGGGTGATATTTTTTAAGGAGGAATTATATGTTAGTCACTCTTAGGGGTTAAAGGGTTAAGATGTATGTTGATGAAGGATGCTAAAACTGCTCTTTTGTTGTTGTAGAAACTACTTACCTTTTCCTTTCAGATTCAGCATAACGCATGTAATTTACATACGTTTCACTGAAGCTGCGGTGCGGCGCTAGTGGCGTCACTGGCGGCCCAAGCTTCAGCTGTGAGATGATCATCTTGCGCAATAACGGTCATGGCGGAGTTATAAGAGTTTGTATAGGAATATTTACGACCGCTCTAAGGAATTAAAAAATACGTCAAAATACCTCACCTTACTTCCACAGCGTATTACTTGTTATCTGACCGCTTACTTTGATGAAAAGAGCCCATTTGAGCGAGTTGTTCATTTCGAGGTTTTCAACGTACATAAGAAAAGCCATGACCGTTATTGCGCAAGATCAGTGAAACACTAAAATACACTACTGATATTTCGAGGTTTTCAACGTACATAAGAGCTTGGGCAGCCTTTGGTGGCGTTGAGTTCCAAATCGACATTTAATAATTCGCTGACGGGGTGTACGATTTCAGACCATACAGATATCAGTATTGGTGATTGCACTTTTGCAGTTCGCAAAGGTCGGCTGAAAAATATGCAATGTTAGAAAAAAATGTGCCGAGCTATTGATCTACTCATCAAATCTTTTGCTTTGCCATGTCCTTGCTGCTGTCGTCGCTGTGGTTTCCTGAGGTCCCTTAGGCAAACCACGACGGCGACGGCAACGAAGACATGGAAAAACAAAAGATCTAATTGGCAAAACAATAGCTCAGCACGTGCATTTTAAAACTTTGTACATTTCTTAGTCGTCCTATGCAAAACAACAACATGAAATCAACACAATCTGCGTCGTCTGCAAACCGAAACCGCGAGGCAAATTATTTTAATTTCCATTTGGAACTCAATGCTTCTTTTATACGTTATGCTGAAGTTGAGGTTGAGAGTTGTGCCGTATGAGACTGTAAACACATGCAGCCATTTATGAAATTCCAATTAAAGGCAAAAATTAATTTTTTAATCGAAGTCTTCCTTGGCGTTGCCGTCCTGCCTGCTTAAGGGCCTTGTTTGTACGACCATCAGTGTGTAGACGGAAAGCGTTGTTGTGGAGGAGTTTGTTCATACTGTGGTTGGAGCGATGAAGCTTATGCAGGCGCTATTGTCGGTCCAACTATCTTCGTCGCCATCATCATTTCCATCGTATCCTGCTTCTGCTGTTCTTGTCCGTTCTACCGCTATCGTAAACCTGGTACTGAGGTCAATACCCAACAGCGCCATCCAGAGTTCACTTCAACTGAGACACATATGATGACAGATCAAGTACAAGCTCCAGATTACAACCAGGCACCACCCGTTCATCCGCCACCTGGTCCAACCCCGTATCCTCCTGCTCAGGTACAAGGATAAGCCGTTTCGAAGCCGCCTTCAGGGTAAGATAACTGAGATGTCTGAAGCAAAGCAACACGGAAACATATAATATTTCATTTTTTAGTTCAAGAGGCAACTCATTTTAAGTTAAGACATAGACTCCCATATGCATGATATGGCGCAAGTTTTTCCTATAATATTTTATATATTGGAGTACAATAAGAGAAAAGTCATGATACGTACCGCAAGATTCTTACGCAATCGTTGATTTCTCGATGATAAGCTGCAATTTCCTCCTTGGTCGAACGGCGTGAAAAGCAAGACATTCGGCAATTTCCTTATTTGAATTGCGTGACAAGTAAAGTAATCTTCCCGGAAACTTGTTATGTAAATTTACTCCTTTCAAGGATTTTTGTGCGCTAGCATTTAATTTTTTATAGATGTTTTATAAGAGAGTGAAGACCTTTGTTATGTACTCTATGGGTAACAGCAGATGATTTACTTTTAGGCGTTCTAATTGCAGAGATGACCAAGAGAGAAAATCCTTCCTACTCCACCCCCCTGTCGCGCAAGAAACCCTTCAGCGTGCTACGGAAATTTTTAAATATCCTATAACTTGATTCATTTTCCTTACAGATGAACATATCCTATAGTGGGACTAAATTACCATAGAGAATTGCGTTTTCGCCTTCGGCAATTAATGTTAGTTTTCAAATTTGACTTTGGTGAGCAGATATTATAAATCTTTTCCAGCGCCCAGTTTAGGCATTTAAAATTAGTTTCTTAATTTTCTTTTTAAACTGGCATCAATTTTTCTTTTGGATAATAAAGCTGAGTTGTGTTTCTAAAGAGTTATGATTGATGGACAACTAACTTTTCTGCGCAGACATGATGATGCTAAGAAAATTGGCTCCCCAATAAAGGGTGTTTCCAACCTCGCCCGCGGGCCCTTTTCCCACCCCGTCCCTAAAAGAAGGGGAAAAGGGCTTGTAGACAAGAATGGGGGTGTTTCCAGGAGCATATGAATCAAAGATATTGAAATTATTCATTGATTTTCTAAAAAAATACGTTTCATTCATTGCGCTTCTACCAGAACCAGAACTTAAACCAATCACAACAAGGTCATTCTCTTTTTCCTGAGCTCAATAGCTGCCTCTCTTCCTTTTATCCGAAGGGCTACTTGTAATAAATCCGTTTACGAAAAAAGAGGCTACAATCTAAACTCCGTAAAAAATACGTATTAAACTTGTTAAATGAACCACAACATTTGGCTGAAATAAAAACTCCAAAACTTCTTAAAATTCCAACAAAGGAGTAACAAATTTACGCGAACGAACGCTCAAAAACAACTCATTAAAACTTCGCTGTCAGTTTTCCAATGTCTAGGTTAGAGCTCTTTGATGTAATTGCCTAATTTGTAAAATCACGCGCGCCGCGCGTGAATACAAAAAGAATACGAAGGGGGGAGAGGAAGAGAAAAATTGCTACTTTAAATTAAAAAACGAAGATTTTCTACACTACTCATGAAACCCTGCACCTCGTAGCCTGAATGAAGGAGTGCCCCTTTTGGACGGACCATCCCCTTGTCACGGAGGGTGTGTTCTAGTAGAGGTAATATCGACCCTCTCTACCCCAGCAGTATTCGTCAATTAGTGATAGTCTCCCTAACAAAAGCACTGATCGCAAGCCGGAAATAAATTTAAGAACGAACGCAATTGCCTCACCCATATGAAGAGGTAATCATCTCACGAGTTAAGAACAGCCGTCACTCATAAACTTGTCTATAGTGGTCCACAAAGGGATTCTGTCCTTTCTGTTGTCTCTTTTCTTCTTTTTTTTTAAGCTCAGTTGCGATTGTTCCCTCATTGAGTCCTGTTGTACAGATGATGTTGTTATTTCTGTTTGTTCGACCACCAATGTGAAACGAGAGAACAGTGCTGTAAGATAGCGAATGCATCAGTAGTATGTGTTCTTGTTCCTGTTCGTACGACTACCAATGTGACAGTGGTGAGCAGTGCTGTAATAGCAAATGCATGAGTAGTTTGCCTTCTTGTTCCTGTTCCCATCACCAATGTAGAACTGGTGAGCGGTGCTGTAATAGCAAATGAATTCATTTGGTAGTTTGTCATCGTGTCCCTACTACACCTACTGCATCGATTCTGTGGTCAGGTAAAAGGTTTTCTGGATGGTTTCTTCAGGGAAACTCGCAACAATTGCTCGCTCGATTGGCAGTGTGGCAACAAAAAAAATTGTTGTAACGCGCCTGCACGTGGCTGTGTCTTTTAACTCCCTATAATTTTCCCAACCCTCAGAACTTTCGAAACGCTCGGGATCCTATCAATTTTTACCGGGGCCGCTTACACTTCTAGTTCTTTAAACGACGGCGAGAACGCAAGCATTGCAGTCGGTACAATCGCCGTCTTCGCCACTGTCTTTTCCATCGCCTTTTGTTTCTACTGTACTGCCAGTTATGTCGTCACTGATCGCCCGGGACCGTGATTGTGACCAGCCTATTCAGCTAATCCAGTCGACAACTCACACGAATCAGCAAACATTGCTGCAGTTTCCCCACCTGCAGGATGCACGCAGACTCCGTCAGGTTAGAGCAGCTACCCACAGGCACTGAACCAGCATCTCCCATCTCTGGGACAAGCAGAAACCAGCCCAATGCCTTTTCCGCCCAAAGTGGGATAATTGGTCAAATATCAACATGCTTTCGTAGAAAAAGGAAGGTAAACTTCTCAGAGCAGTGCACAGCCACAAAGATATTAAAAAGGGGAACTAAAAAAGAAAGGTTTTCGTTTTTCAAATTGGGTTGGGGAACCGTCATCATTTATGGCGAGGGTGGGGAGGGAGGGGAGGGAGGTTTAGAGGATTTTGGTTGAGTAACGATGAACTTTACCTGATTCCCCATAATAAGACTTGTAATTACTTATAAGTACTTTACTAGTGAGCGGTAAACAGCAACAGACCTTATCAACTTGATTTATTTTCTCGACCGAATTAGTCTTCTTTTACAGATTTCATTAGGGAGTTTGAACAAGATGGTTAAACGTAAATAATTAAAAAATGTAATCTATAAATTAGCCTCTCGTCATCCACGAAAAACATAGTCATCCGCGATATTAATCTCTGATAAAGATAACCCCTTTTTTCCTTACAATAAGGGTGCGAAACAGGAGAAATATGTAGATAAAGAACGTGCGATGTATTACTGAAATCCTGTCTGATGGTGAGTTCAAGTTTGGGGCTCAAAGATTTGAAGTTAAATCCTTAAGTCTCAAAATTAAACTCTCTATCATACAGGATTTCAGTCATATCCTGTACGTAATGATTATCTAGGTGTTTCTCGCTGTTCACACCCTTGTCTGTCAAAAAAAGGTTATCTCTATTGGAGATCAATATTTACGAATAACTATATTTTTCTCGAATGACGATGGAGTTGACAGATTTGAGACGTTTTTAGGTTCTTCGTACGATATTTTGTCCTCTAAAATAGGATTAGCGGAAATAACACCACTGAGTAGGAATAATCCTATAAAATGCCAAATTTGGATTGAATAGCTAAAGTGGTAGGAAAATTTGCATTTTTAAACTTAAAAAACAATAAAATACAAGTTGCCAAATTACAAAAAAATACAGCGAGAATTTGATGGAACACAAGTTTGGCCGAGGTTATCGGAGATCAATATTTACGAGTATGTTTTTCTTCGATGATAGGCTTGACAGATTTCTATCGTCTCAAGGTTTTTTGAGCCTTGGTTTAAAATTTAGCTTTAACCTCACTTGACTGAAAGTACCGGACCATCCCCGTCACGAGACTATGTATTGTAACATTATTTCACCTCTTCCTCCTCCGCTTCCTTCCCTCCCTTTCTGGAGAGAGTTTTAAAACCAGGCAAGTCACCTAATTCATCTATTAATCTCACATCGAACACACGCCATTTGAACTATGAAGAGGACAATGGCTTTTAGGGAACTTTCGTGCATTCTTTTTGTCTGTTTCTTTGCTTTGGGAAATGCTATATACTGTTTGGAAGCCTCTGATTGTTCGGCCCTTGAATCCTGTTGTCCAGATAACGTCTGCAGAGAAAGATGTTATGCTTGTCATAAAAAAGGTTATCTGTATTTGAAATCAATATTTACGAATGACTTTGTTTTTCTTTAATGACGACAGGGTTGACAGATCTCTGAAGTATTTAGGTTGTTTGTTCAATATTTGGTCCTCTCAAAAAAGATTAGCGGGAATAACACCACTGAGTAGTAATAATTCTATAAAATGCCAAATTTGGATCACATAGCTAAAGTGGTAAGAAAATTTACATTTTAAACTAAACAAACGATAAAATACAAGATGAAAACAAGTTGCAACATTAAAAAAAAAAACAGTGATAATTTGATGAAACACAAGTTTGGCTGTGGTTATCGGAAATCAATATTTACGAATGACTATATTTTTCTCGAATGACGATGGAGTTGACAGATTTGAGACGTTTTTAGGTTCTTCGTACAATATTTTGTCCTCTAAAATAGGATTAGCGGAAATAACACCACTGAGTAGGAATAATTCTACAAAATGTCAAGTTTGGATTGAATAGCTAAAGTGGTAAAACAATTTGCATTTTAAACTTAAAAAACGGTAAAATACAAGATGAATACAGTTTGCCATAATACGAAAAAATACAGCGAGAATTTGATGAAACACAAGTTTGGCAGTGGTTCTATATTGGAGATCAATATTTACGAATGAGTATGTTTTTCTTCAATGATGATAGGCTTGACAGATTTCTATTGTTTCAAAGTTCTTTTTTCAATATTTGAGCCTTGGTTTAAAATTTAGCTTTAACCTCACTTGACTGAAAGTACCGGACCATCCCCGTCACGAGACTATGTATAGTAACATTATTTCGTCTCTTCCTCCTCCGCTTCTTTCCTTCCCTTTCTGGAGAGAACTTAAAAACCAGGCAATCTCATCTAATTCATCTATTAATCTCACACTGAACGCACGCCATTAGAACTGTGAAGAGGATGATGGCTTCTAGGGAACTTTTGTGCCTTCTTTCTGTCTGTTTCTTTGCTTTGGGAAATGCTAAATACTGTTTGAAAAGCTCTGATTGTTCGGCCCTTGAATTCTGTTGTGCAGATTACGTCTGCAGAGAACGATGTCACTGTTCGTACGACCACCAATGCGGAACCAGCGAGCAATGCTGTGATGACAAATGCATCAGTAGTTTGTCTTCTTGTTCTTGTTCATACGACTTCCAATGTGGTATTGGAGAGGAATGTTGTCGGGGAGTGTGTTCGTCAAACTGTGGTTTGAGTAGCGGAACTATTGCAGGTATTATCATCGGCAATATTGTCTTCTTCGCCTTCGTCATTTTCACTGTATCCTGCCTCTGCTGTGCTTCCTGCCCGTATTACCGTTATCGTGCACCCGGTACTGTAATCGTCACCCAACAGCCGCAACAACAGCTCGTCCCAACTCAGGCACACACGGTGACGACGCAGCAAGTACAAGCTCCTCTGCTGCATAACTACAAGCAGACTTCTCCAGCAGGTTACAACCAGCCTCCTTCAGGTTTACACCAAGCACCACCCGCTTATTCGCCACCTGGTCCGAACCCGGGTCCTTCAGCTGAGATAAGAGGACAAGCCGTCTCGATACCGCCTCCCGAACCGGCCAAGTACTAAGATCTTTGAAGCAAGTCAACATGGAAACAACCGGCAACGAATTTATGTATGGCATATATCATATATCCATGGTATGGCGCAAGTTTGCATGGAACAATTTTTTATATCGGAGTAGAATTAGAGAAAATTCACAATTGCCATCCCAAGGTTGAGGATCTTAGTGGAATGATGGTTTTTACGGTTAATGTTGACAATTTTGGCCCATTTACGGCTATAAACAGTTAATACCTTTCCATTGTGGTCACCAGAAATTTTTCTTACGGTTAACTTTTTGTATGACAAACGAGTAAAATTTGTCAATTTCTGAGCCAAATGGCTAATGTTTTTGCTCTTTTACGGCTATCGGTTAACCTTATTGAATATTTCAAGATTCTTACATAACTGTCGATTTATCAATAATAAGTTACAATTGCGTGACAAGCAAAGTATTCTTCCCGGAAGTTCCTCATTTTATTTGCTATTTTTAGGGATGTTTGCGGAAATACGGTTAGTTTTTTTCAATATTTTACGATAGAGTCAAGGCCTTCGTTTATGATGTTTCCAAATCGCTGAATATGAATTATTCTAATAAATGTTAAATTTGGTTGAAATGGCTAAACAATTAGAAAATAATTTTATAAACTTTATTCACGATGAACTGATACAAGATTAATACCAGTCGCCATAGTTAAAAAATATACATTGAGAATTTGATTAAATACAATTTTTCGAAGAGGTTATTTACGAGTGACTTTTTTTTTCTTGAATGACGTCAGGCTTGACAGATTTCCGGTGTCTTTAGGAACTTTGTTCAGTATTTGGGCTTTTTTCAATATCAGCTTTGGCCAGACTTGAAAAGTACTGAACCATCCCCGTTAAGATATTATTTATATACACTTTGTTTGGTGGCTTAACATATAATACTTGCGTATAAATTGTGAGACTCGTAGTATTTATTCGAGCCCCAAAGGCGCGAGGAAAATTGCGAAGAAAATTGCGAACAGTGAACAAAATGTCCGCTCGTATTCAATGTCAAACCATCAAAAATGGGATATATTATTTTACTATCATTTCACTTTTTAGTATTTTGATCTTAGTTTGTGAAATATATCCTACGGCCTTATCGGTGCATCTACGTATAGCCGTACCCTCCCCCACCCCCAAGATAAAACGGAAGGGAGGAAACTTCGACGAAAACCTGACACTAATCATGTTCTGTGACGTCACTCTTTTGCAGGAAAATACATGACTTCTTGTCGGTTAACCCCTTTTGTCGATTCTTTCGTGAATTCTGATTGGCTAGAGCTGGTAGTTTTCTTTCATGCACTAACGAACAAGATGGTGAACAGAATGCTTTCATGGTCAACTGTTCAGACAACAGCGATCTACGACTAGGTTTAAGGCAAGTTTGCCCGACTTTAGGGATAGAAAATTTCAAGAAGACAGCAAGCAATATGTTTTTTGAAGGATAACGATGTTTCTGGTTTCCCCAGCTATGTGAGACAATCATCTTGCGTAATAAGCGTCATGGTGAAAGTATTATAAGAGTTTCTTTTGGAATATTTACTCTTAGGAATAAATATAACAATGCTTCACTTTACTTCCACTATGCATTGCTTGTTGTCTGACCACTGACTTTGTTGAAACGCGGCTATTTTAGCGAGTTAACCATTTCTAAGTTTCCTACTCCTACGAGAAGAACAAGGCTACACACTCCATTTCCGAAAGCGAAAACTCAATCTCAAAATTACCGGAAGATAATATTCTAACAGCTGGAGCTTAAGCCACCTGTACGCCAGTGATCGATCGCCTTTCTTCTCTAGAAAAAAACCGGTCACTATATTTATTGTGCCGCCCGCTAAAGCTTTCATACAACACCAGGTGCAGTATCTCAATGGCCAAGAGTATTGTCCGCCCTTAACTTTCGGTCTCTTTGCAAACGGTGCTGCGCAGCTATTAAATTAAAACGGTTTGTTTCTTGGAGCCATTCTTTCGATTGAGAAAAGAGTACACTCTTTTTTCACACTTGCGTCTTAACTATCTCCTAGTGAAATCTACCTTGAGATTTTTCGGCAAATGATGCAACGTCATTCGACGACCGTGACACTGTTTACAAATGCATGCAGGAACCGCTTGGACGTCGAAATCTAGTTTCGAAAGCGCGATGTGAATCGAACATCGTCCTCTTCTTGTTCTATACGTCCTATACCAAAAATCGCTCATAATCTTTTTCTGTATCCTTAAAGCAAAGTATACATTTGAACGCAGACAGTAAATTGCAAATCTACCAGAGTTATGCATGGAAAATGAATTATTTTCAGTGTTGTTGTGAATCTCGATTAGCTTTGGCTTATTCTATTTTGCGAAACGAAACGAAACGAAACCAAGCGAAACTAAAAGATAATGCGGTATATTATCTAATATTTAAAGATAACTTTGACAACGATTTCGGAGTAAACGTTAATCGTTAAGGAGGTTTAATTTTTTTGAATATGTTTTGCGAAATCGACCATTTTCACCCTGCGGTGACAATGTGACATTTTTATGTCACGAAAATAAATTGAAAGACTTCACACTAATAAGTAACCAAAGCCGTTGTATGACACGAGAATGGCTTCATCGTTACCGCTCAGTGAAAATAGTCCATTTACATAAACTTACTACTTTACAAATTGATTTTATATGGATAGTGAAATAAGAGGTGACCAAGATCTATGGGAATATGCTATAATTTGTGTAGTTTAAACGTATTTTGTGACCTGAAAAGAAAGATATTATTACAGGGTGAAAAAACAAAACAAAAGAAAAATGCAAATTTTCGATCGCTCGGTGCGGCCAGTTTGTTGTTCCGTGGGCCAGTTTGTTTGCCCTGTTCTACTGTGTAATAACTTGGCACCTCATGAGCTTATTTGGTAATTGTTATAAAATTTCTCCTCGTCCCCTTCCCCCTCCCCCCCTCGCTATCAACGTCATATTGGAAACCAGCCAACTAATTAAGTTAATCATAACCTCACATCAAACGCCAAATCAAACATCAAATTGCGAGGAAGACAATGGCTTCTAAGGAATTTTTATGCTTTCTTTTCGTCTGTTTCTTTATCTTGGGAAGTGCTACCTGCTGTACCTGGGAAAGCGATTGTTCCTCTAGTGAGTCCTGTTGTACAGATGGAGTCTGTAGAGAGAGATGTTACTACTGTTCGTCCGACAGCGAGTGTGGGACGAACGAACAATGCTGTGATAACAAATGCATCAGTAGTTTGTCCACTTGTTCCTGTTCGTCCACCTACGATTGTGGCATTGGTGAGCAGTGCTGTAGTAGCACATGCATCAGTAGTTCGTCTTCTTGTTACTGTACGTACGACTCCGATTGTGACATTGGAGAGGATTGTTGTGGGGGAGTTTGTTCGTCATCATACTGTGGTTGGAGCGGCGGAGCTATTGCAGGCGCTATTATCAGCACAATTATTTTCTTCGCAATCATCATTTCCATTGTGTCTTGTCTCTGCTGTGCTTGTTGCCCCTACTACCGCTATCGTACACCCGGTACTGTGATCGTCACCGGCCAACAGCCACAACAGATCGTCTCAACTCATACACAAATGTCTACGCAACAAGTACATCCTCCTCCGCCGGTGAACTACAATCAGCCTCCTCCAGCTGGTTACAACCCGCCTCCTCAAGGCTTTAATCAGGCTCCTCCGCCTTACCCGAGCTATCCACCGCCATCAAACCAATATCCTCCACCGCTGGGACAAGCTCAAGCGGCGCCGATGCCGGCTGCAATAAACGCTGGACAACCGAACAAGTACTAATAAAAGTAACCTGAGAGGTATCTTCTCTAAACAGAACTGTTTCGATGAAATAAATATCCTTCTGTTTAATTTCCACTTACATAAATGCAACCGTAGTCGAGTTACTGAATGTTATGTTAGTATTTTTTTTAGGGATAGTTTCAAACGTTTTAATTAAGGAGTACGTGAAGTATAGAATGATCAGTACGCTGTGTATTTCCACTTTTCTTTCGTTGTTCAAACAAAAACAAAAAGTAGACACAAATTTCACGCGGAGATAGATAAGTCCGGCCATTTTCATAAATTTTTCAGAATGAATATTGTATTCTTAGAAATGTAGTTTTACTTAACTGTCATATTTAACTCAGTCTATGCTTCCATCGACAGTTTTCAATCTATTTTCGCTTTTGAAATTTTCAAGATTGCGAATGTCTATCGTGTCGTATAGCCGTCAAATTGATCATCTGGGTAAAAGAATTAAACAGTTTAATTTTTTTTCCATTGGCTAGGTTGTTGTTACTACATTTAAGCTGCTACCTTATTTATAGACGTTAGAAATTTGATTCCGCTTTAGCGAGGTTTGTCGCTTTTTCATTTTCTACTTTCAGCTAATCTAATCTTCAGCAGATCCTTCGATAGCATATGTTATGTCGATGTCGAGCAGTATTTACTTGTGTGTGTTGTCGCAGTGTTTTTTTAATAATAAATTTATGTTAATCAGCTGCCGTGTGCGTGGTTCAGTTTGATATGCAAGTGACCGGTGATGTAAAACAGCCGTCACCATGTGCTTTTTACCAACTAAACTTTATAGCTCTGACGCAATCAACTAGATATCGTAACAACCGGTTCGCAAGTGAATATTACAACGGATATTCCGAACTTTTTTGTGAGCTTGTAAACGTGGCGGAAATTTCATCTGAGCGATTTATTAAGAAGTTAGGAAAAAAAAGCAGAAACGAAGACTAAGTAGCTCTAGAGGATCGAAAATTGTGAATCAATCAGTACCTGTTCTAGATTTCTAGTGAAGCCAGTTGTGTGGGTGTTTCGTCAACATACGTATTCACAACACCTCGACATCGTAATTCTCCTTTTATGACTTTTGAATGACATTTCTTGCATATATATTCCTTACCATCAAATGATTGTTGAATATTGAAAAATGTTTGGCAGGGGTAATTGTTGTTTATGTACCTCATTACTGATTTTTTTATAAAGTATTCGATTATAGAGAGTACATATGAAATAAGGGCCTTCTGTCATTTTCTTCTTAAACGGTTTAATACGTGATTCAATAGATGTGGCTTTGACTTTGATTCTCTCTTTTCTTTTATTCAATAGATCTCTTTTAGCTTCTGTGTCCATTGATTCGTATTTTTCTGTGCATTTCTGAAATAATTCTTTCTTTTTTGTCGCATCCATGGATTGGTATTTTTCTTTGCGTTTGTGGAACAATTTTTTCTTATCTATACCATCTAAAGAGTGGTAATTTTGTCAGTGTTTGCAAGATAATTCTTTCTTTTTTGTAGGATCCATTGTTGAATACCTCTTTTGAATCTCCTCTACAAACCTTTTTTTGGCAATAGGTTCCATGCTGTCATATACATGTTTTTTTCTGTTTTCTCGTCATATTTTCCCTTTCATTTTCACTAATATCACAAGAACAGCAAATAAATTGTATATCATGCTCTACAGTCTGACATTGCTGTTTATTTTGAATAATATCATGAATTGCCTCTACAAGTTTGTTAACACGACTGACGTGTTTTATATGTTTCATTGCAGGTGAATTACCATCTTCATGTCAGCAGTGAAAACAATCTTACTGTGGTATTTTGTTGATAACTACAAGCTGCACAGTAACTTGAAATGCACATTAAAAATTCTGTTTTCCCATTGTTCCTTAAAATCAAGGTCTTTAAAGATATCTGGCTTTCAGGTAATTTAGTTAATTTTCTGTGACTTAGTTTTTCAACATCTAAATTTATCTTAATGCCAAAAATTGTAACACTGTTACGAATATAAATAGATGCTAAGTGATGTTCACTTTGCATTGTATTATTAAGCCGAGTTCCATTTTGAATAATTGCATCTAAAGTATTTGAATTCCAGTAACCACAAAGTGAAATGATTGAGTAACATAGAGAATAAAGATCTATTGCAAAGCAGTAGTGGTTTTTGAAACAATTCTGTTGATCTGATGGTGTATTTAACACATCTTTACACTGTTGCTCGCTGTGATGTCATACTTTGTAATATGTAAACCTTTTAGTTCATACACATCAATTACTCCGTATAAACTTTGAAAGTATTGCACTAAGTTGTCTGCAGATTATATATCTAATAGTACGCATGTCCCTTTAGGATGACTCTCGCCATAAACTTCTCTTGCATGAGTCGCACACTTTAAAATGGGGATTGTCAACACAATAAATAATACCGACAGCAATACAACCAACTTTCAAAATAAGTAACCTGTATTGTTCTGATATCAGTGACTCAAAAGCTCTTTTCAGGCCCATACAGTATTGATATCTCTCAATAGTAGTCTCACCATGGACATTATCAGAGTAACTTGCACTGTATTCTAGCTGGTAATTTCCCTGCAATACTGTAAGCATTGTTGGTAATTCTGTTAGCAGTAAGAATGATTGTCTTGCTAGTTTTGACAAACTGCTGTATAGTTGATTGCCAATATGCACTATTTGTTTCAAGTCACCAGGGTTACTTATTCCTTTCACATTGTGGTATATTAAAGCACATAAACTCATTGCAACACATTCTTGTCCTGCATTTTGTCCAAATACAACAACATCCCCTTTTTTTATATGATTCTTTTATTGTTTTATTGGGATCAACATGGTGCATGGCAGGACCAGGGTTTTCCTCCACATCATTACAAAGCTTGTACTTTGTACAATTGCCTCTATGAGTTAGACTCTTGTACTCACTATATGGGAAATTACACAAACACAACCTTAAGTAATTTGAATTATTTATTTCCATATTTAGCTGTATTTGACTTGTTAACATATCTCATTGCAGAATTGACTTTTCTTGTTCTAAAAATGGGTTTCCTTCTCATTTTTTGTACAAGCCTGACACTTGTTTTGTGTCTACTTTTGCTTCCTGTTGCAATGAGACGATGAACTTTCGATGATTTTGTTTGGTTTTTCCTTAATCGGCTCCATACGTACCTCTGTAATTTTCTGCCTTTCTGAGAGAGACATTTTAACATATTTACTGGTACTCTACTTGGTTCACGATCACGTTTTTAGCCATGACATTCACATACAACACGACTACAATTATAATATACATACTTTGCATAACGAGATCTGAATTCCTGTACTTTTATTGACACTAGAACATTATGTTCATGTACATTAGTCAAATTGATAACTTTTTCTAATACACTACAGTAATCAAGAGAATTTAACGTCTTCTACCAAGCAGGTGCAACCCCATGCGCAGTGCAAACCAACATTCGGCTATATCCTGGTCGTATCGGTTAACGAAAATACTTCCTGGTGTGCCGGCTAACGAAATTTGCGTGACATCGGTCAATCGAACGATAGTACAACAATAGCAGTGATAACTTAAGCAATATCAAATCGTTTCCAAGTATTGATTACAAAAAAAAAACCAAACAAAACATTTAGGATATTTAACACAAGAGTTAAGCTGAGATATTTACAGTTCAAGTTGCTTTGTTGAACATCCTTCTCTTTATCCAATGTGGTGCTTTGCGTGTTGTTGTTTCCCTCAACATCCAAGTTCTGCTTATCAAGATCCGTGAGTTTTTCAACATCTGAGGTATTCACATTTTTCAAAGTTTTCAACGCTTTCAAGCTATAGAATTCGTGGACCGACCCGTTACGAAATCGCTCGACATCTTTAAGTGTGGCCTACCACGAATGGTGTGAGCGTTTGTATTTGAGACGAGCGTATAAGGCATTGTTCTTTTCTGAGATTTCTTCACAAAACACTGCGGCATTCTGTATAAGTTGTGTTTTTTGCGAAAAATGGCTTTTAGGTTGTCGTGATTCTCATCCCCAGTTTCAAGGGTCTTCGCTGGGAACGCCTGGAACTTTTGGTGCGAAAACTATACATTTGGCGACCAAATACGACGAAGAACGGCTTGCATTTTTAAACTCGAGCTTTCGGAAGCTCGAGTAAAAAGCCTTGACTGTGCTCTGTTTTGTTTCAAAGCACGCAAGATTCGGCAAGAGCACGAAGGAAGCGTAGGGAGAAGCACGAGACGTAGTCGGCTTGTAGCGACTGAACATCGATATTTCGTTTTTTTTTAAATACACTTTTATCTTGTTTGCACGCATTGTGTCATGTGATTTTAGGACACCTCGTGGTTAGAAAAAAATTAAGAAATGGTTGAGTTGTAAAATACACTACTTATCTTTGTGGTGGAAGCATTTTACACGACAATTCTTTCTGATTCTTCGAGCCGGTGGATAAGTCGTAGTTTTTAGCGATTATTTTGTGTTTTTTGCGAATTACTGTGGAAATGGACGATGAATTGAGTGATTGGGGCGATAGACGAGATCCGCCATCAGTTGGACTGGAAAATGTGCCGAAGGTAAGTCAACCAGAAATTTCAGTCCAAACTTTCTTGAAAAGTAAAAGAAGATCGCAATTCATGATCAGCTGAAAGGTTTAGCAGCTTCGATAGAACAGTTTGGCTAATAGTAAAACTCGTATCAATCAAATTATGGCCGAATTGAAGTCTTGTTTACAACAAGCCGAAGAATTGAATGTCTAGTATCTGTCGTTTATTTCTGACTCCGAGCACGATGAAGTACCTGAATGGTACGATGTAGAGTTTGTTAGAGTTACAGAAGCATTGGATGAAGCAGTAGAATATTTGAAAGCGAGAGCGAGTGAAGAATCGTTTGTATTGAGTTCGAAGGCTTCGTTTAAGAGTAGGAGGGATCCGTTGGCTGTTAAAGTGAGAGCAGCCGCGGCACTAACATACGTCGAAAGGCAAAAGGGATTGTCAAAGAGAAATTGCGAGAAATTGAATCAAGTCAAGCCAAGTCAAGCTGAGTTACAGCGAAAGTTGTTTAAAGCTAAGGAAGAAGCTGAGCGAGTGCGATTTGCACTTGAGAAACAACGTCCCATCTCTGAAGAAGCGCAGGAAATGAGACATTGGAAGCCGAAGCAGTTCGACTGAAAGCAGAAGTTCAAGTCGTACAAAACGACGAAGGTGGCCACGACAGTCTGGAGGGAAGACTTAAGGATTTCGAAGTTTAAGAAGAGCTCGAGCTAGAGAATGTTCCAACTTTACTGGTTAACGGTGACAAGACTGAATACACTGTAACTCCGAAACAAGATTCAGAAGTTCAGCCTTTGAAGGTGAAGTTTGGTAACCAAGAAACCCTTAGTCAGGCTAATGGTGGAGTGCAAGCTGATTCAACGGTCAACAGAGTTATTTTGCGGTCTTGTTTAGACCTTCTACCAAAGTTGAAACTTGACATCTTTGACGGCAACTCCATCCATTGGAGTGATTGCATTTCAATGTTTCATTCGATTATACATGATGCATTATTTCACTTTCAGTATTTTGATTTTAGTTTGTGAAATATATCCCACGGCCTTACCTGTTCATCTAGCCTACGTGTAGCTATACCCTTCCCCACCCTCCTCGAGATAAAACGGAAGGGAGAGAACGTCTACGAAAACCTGACACTAATCGTGTACTGTGACGTC